GGCCGTTGCACCCTGTGAGATCAACCGGGTTTTTCTTGCTTCCTTTGTGGAACTGATCCCTTTGGAAATCAAGTGCCGTGGGAGCCTGGCGTACAGAATTCTGCTGAATCTTTCTGAGGGGTTATTTACAATGTAGTACTTCTCATCTGACCCCTCCGTAGCGGTCCCCCGCCCCAAAATCCGTTTCAGAATAAAAGGAGAAAAAGATCGCGGTGAAACCAAAGACTTAATGGGGGGCCTATTCCTCGACCTCGTGCGTATCGCGAGTTAAGTGTCTCAAACGGGGCATTCAGGGTCGCTGATCATCGCCTCGGTTTTAATTTTCGATACACGTTCGATTTGCGGGCAGGAGAGATGATTTTTTCTTGTCGGGATGTCCATATAAGGCAATTTTTACTGTAGCACTCCTCCGTGGTGTCTTTCGAGTAATCTGTGATTCCTCACTCATTGTACACTTTATTTGCGCTACCGAACCAAATCCTGGAATATTTGGGGTTTCAATTCCATGTCTAACCGTCAAATTTCGGGATTTAGTTCATTTTAGGCCATTGTGTCTCTAGCATTTTAGGCAATTGTGTCTCTAGCTCTCCCCTCCTCTCTGTTTTCTATATTCTGCGTCGGCCAACTCATTTGTACCCATTATTCACACTACCGACCCGAACCCCTGAATATTTGGCAGTTGATTTTCATGTCTTCCAATCGCATTTCGTGTTTTTACCTGTTTTAGGCAACTTTATCTCTAGCGCTCCCCTGGTCTCCGTTTTCCGTATTCTGTGTTGGCCAGCTCATTTGTACGCATTATTCGCACTACCGACCCGAACCCTATCTCTATTGAGGGGGGGGTTCGCAACTAAAGAACAGACTGAATAATATTCAAGAGATAGGCTGGTATTTATACAAGTGTGCGGGAGATTTTTTGGGTCGCCAGGTATCGTTTTGGCGCGCCAGATTTGGTGCTCAGCGCGTCCTGAGCCACGCGCAACAGATCGTCCCGGGTGGAATCTACAAGAACGGTGCCCTTGCGACACGAGTTTGCCGGTCAACACCTGCAGGTGGGTCTCGTCCTTGGCGAAGGGTCTAATCATCGTACAGAGTTCAAGGACACCACACTCCTCGGGCTAGGACGACGCACCCCGCCCTGCCATTATCTGTGACGATCTCCAATCGCCGAGGGCCTTCGCATTTTCGCGGCGAAGCGCGCGAAACTCGGGGTAGTGCGAGAGCGAGCAGCGACCTTGGACGATGTATCGGACGGAGGTGAGTGCATCGTGTCCATTTACATTTTGGAGAACAGCGGGGCAGGCGTGGAGGAATATTAATCTGGCGAATATTAGGGTGCTTTAGGACCCACTACCCTAAAGTTAGTGGGCATATGCCAACAGGGACTACTTAGAATTCTTGCACGTAGCATACAGGTGTGAAGTAGTGCGACCGTCCCGTAACACTCACGCCGGTAGGTGATGGACAACGGCAGAAATTTCGTATGGGTTGAGAGGGAAGACGAGCTCATGAACGTCGGACCCGCGTCCCAAGAGTCGCACCCTCGTCCCCGGCAGAACAGTCATGGGGTAACACGTCGCCCAGTTGCCTGTCATGTCCAAAAGCTTGATTCCGTACACTTTATGCGCATCCTGGATGATCGAGTCGATCCCTCCCCCGCGTTTACCGATATAAAAATTCCAGGAGAACGGCGCATTCTGAACCTGGGGGGGTACGTCGGGTGGTAGAATACCTTGTGAATGTCGAAGTCGAAGGATTTGATGTCCACACCCGCTGGAGGGACCGCGGCCTACAGAATGCAGGTTGACTTTGATGTCACGAGAAAGTGGATTAAGAACGCACCCCAAACACCGCACCCGACTTCAAGGTCGCCAGCAGCACTTGGAAATGGTGTTCCACTGCCACAGGATCCTGGCTGTGGGCCATCAAAGCGCACTGGAGAATCTCTTGGCGTTGGGAGTCCTGCAGATCAGGGTAGATGGTGGCAAGCAGGCGCATGCTCTCGACATGCTTCGCGCGGCCCGCGCTCTGCGGATTTGGTGTGCGGTTGCTGCGCATACTTGGTATGGAGTGACACGTCAATGTTTGTGATTGTGGATATATATATGTGTATGTGTACTCACGTGGCTTCGATGAGTGACGTGGCCGTTGCAGCTTGTTTTTCCCCCCATGCCATACCAACGTCTGGGTTCCACCGCTTTTTTAAATCCCGGTCAGTGCCAGAACGACCTCTGGGCCACAAACCCCCTAAACGCCGCCACTCCAAATAACGGGGACGCCCGTTTCATCATCCAAGCGACAAACCCTCAGCAGGGCATCCTTTACGTCGAGCGGTGGTCGACAGCCCAGAATCGCTGGCTCGCAGAAAGCGTGCCCGGCCCACTACGCATGTACGACGACACAGTGAACCCCAATGCACCTCAGCCTATGGGCGTCCTCCCGGCCGGGCAGTTGGCCAATAACCACATCGCCGGGGGCGGCCAGTGGGTGTTCGGATACAACTTCCCGTGGAACCATATCATACGCCTTACCGGGGTCCCGATATATTACATTAAACACCAACCGAGGCAACAGGGCGACCGCTACATGCAACCGCACAACCCTAGTCCGGCGGGACTGCTCTGCGTCCAATTGCACTGGGGAGTACAGGTGAACGAGTGGCGAGGGGCCTGGACCTGAGTCCAGATAAAGGTACATTGCACACTGCATTCACCGTGAACTTGAACCTTTGACCTGTTGTTCTAGTAGTGTACGTGCGTCGGAGATTTTGAAGGCGAGCCAATACGTATATCCGCCTGGAAACTGAGGTAGGCCGCCGTATTATATCACGCTCCGCGGGTGATTCGTTAACACGTTCTTTACCGTCGGCAGTGCAGCACCGCACGTGCAGCTGTCCCAGCGGCGAGTGTCAAGGGGTGTCCGCGGCGTAACAGTACTTTGCCGCTAACTGAATTAGCACATATATTTACGGCGCATTGAACTATGTATCCTATGTATGCCGGTGCCCGGCTACAGTCGTGGGGGAGCTTGCGCATAATCCCTGTTTCCTCACGTGGCTCTCCATCGTTTTCATGTCTCAATAGTCTTTTACCCACCAAACAAGCTTTGTAAAAATTTAATGAATCAATACGGCCGAAAGCTGATATTCCACTGACCTCATGGTAATTTACCCTGCATCGCTTTCCGTTTCCTCTAATAAATGTATCTCTATGAGTTGGTCGTGTTCAAATTTCTCAAGACCAAACGTCTCGCGCTGTTTCAATCTGGATCTTTTCAAAACCCGTGGAGTGTCTTGGTCGTAGCAATAATTCTACAGGAAGAGAAGACTCCATGTGAGTACCTTAGCAGTACCGTAGCCCTTAGCAGTACCGTAGCCTGGACATGCCACTGGTGTACACCGCCGTTCGGATCAAACATTTGTACAACATTTCAGATCAAATGTCGTCCTGACATCGGAAAGAGGTGCGTCAGAAAAAAACAGTCAAATCTTCAGATGTCCCACTGACAAGTGGACATTGGTGGGACATCGAGATGATATTGTATGAACACACTTCGAAATAGTTTTTAAATTTCTTTACAACTTTATAAATGCTTTTCAAAAATGAAACAAAAACATATTCATTCACAACTATGTACATGGTGGACGTCACAAGCGACGAAACTACGATAAGAAAGTAGAAGAAAATATGAAGGAAAAAACCGCGGCGTGTTCAGATTGTATTGCCGCATCCAACTTGAGCCTTGGGGGAAAGAACACCAGGAAATACCCGAGAGAGCAGAGGGTCAAGGAGCTTGAGTCTTGGAGCTTGGCCATGGCAGCTTGAGTCTTGACGGCTTGAGTCACTTGAGTCTTGACAACTTGACACCAGATCCCGATGGACTTGAGATAGACTTGGAGTGGACTGGCGGCTTAGAGTGGGCCAGCCACGGCACGGGAAAGAGAGGCTCTTGAAGGGGATGGTCTTGAAGAAGTGTCTGTGGAGAGGGTGACATGGTGGCGGGAGGAAAAAAGTGAATGACAGCGAATGACACGATCAACCAAAAGATGGGATCAGAGTCTGATCCGACGGTGGGCACCGACCCTCAATTGATGGCTCCCCACGCTTGCGCGAGAATTTGGCAACTTGGGGGAGATGGACGGAGCATCTGGAGCTGAGTAGCTTGAACATGCATGCTCAATGAATCTATCCGCAGGATGGAAAATATGCAGGTAAAAACCCGGCCTTTGTTTGATGTGCACGCAAATGTTTTCAGCATCATGCATGTCAACCAGACATCACGGACTGGTCGGACTAATGTCTGTCCGACATATCTCACCGAAATGTCTGCACAATGTTTACTGGACGCCATGGAGATATTACAAGAATTCTCGATTAAACATCAAAAACCAATGTCGGCCAAATAAAATTCTCGATTGGTGGTGTATGCGGTCAGCGCTAAGTACATATGTATAGCAATTGTTGGAATTTGGAAACTATCAACGGCATTATTTGAAGGCAAAGGTCGATCCATTCAATTTGAAGACTATTTCGACCAACTTTCCGCTCACCGAGACGGAAAGCTTGATCTCTCAATTGTGGGTTTGTATCCAATTACTTCTAGCTCTAACATTGACTCAATATTTTGATTGACAGCCTACAATGATCCAACATCATTTAACCCGATGGCCAGCCAGCCAGCCCGAGACGAACAAGCGGATTCTGAATTTGAATGGGAATTCCGAATCCCAAGTCAACGGTTTAAAACTCGTGACCTCAATGGCGGCGCATCAATACAACAAGTTTACAGCCCGCGCCTTCGGCGTGGAGTTGGATACACCAAATTTTACATGAATGTATTTATTAGTTGATAGACGGCAACCTCATTAGCTGTTGGCTCATTGTAACGCCGCGCATCAGTGCCTTGTTCATATCGGATCACAGAACCAGGTCGTTTGGAGCTGTATTGAGGGAGCTATGCCCCTCCCAAAACGGATCGAAACTTATGTGCTATCTATCATTGGCTGTGTCGTGGAGTGGTTACCACGCCTGCTCGAGATATGATCATTGTTCGAATTTCCGCGGGTGACGAGGGTTTGAATCCCTCCATGGGCATAATACGTGTCCTTTTTTCGCTCTCTAGATCTCTCCGTGAGTAGTAGTACAAAAATATATGGACGATGTATGGATCGGCAGAACGAATAAGGAAGACGGAATAAACGGACTTGGATTTTGTGCTTTGGAGGAGGTCAGGAACAACATATTGACTTGTGTTCAACCGAAGGATGACTTGGAAAACTAAGACATTATCGCATCATTGCTCCAAACTTCGCTTATTGCGCATGCCTAAGATGATACAAGGGACTGGTCGGCCGCTTTGCGGCCTCCCATCCCCTTATGTGCGTTTAACATAATATGGTGCACTTGATTGAATTGAACTGAGTTTGATATTCAGTTCGGCGTTGGCAGTGGGGGAACAAGATAAGTATCAGAACTTGGCTAACAAATAACGCAGAAGCACAACCCTTGATTCCCTTTCATTCCACTATAAAATATTTTAGTCTGTGTTTGTTCACCTTTTGAGCCTACCATTCAATTTCAATCAGTAGAGAGGGTTGTCTCCCTGCATCTCCCTCTTCTCTAAAATCAATGTTTTAATCGAAGCTTTTTTACAGCAGATGGCAGTACTGAAGGCGCGAATCAGAAAATTGCTGTTTTGGGCATTTTTTGATCCCCGCGACCGATTCATCCATATCTCAATGAGTTCTGCGCAGATTTAGATAAGACTTAGCTAGATAATTCAGGGTAATTCGCGAGTAATTGATGATAGAAAAAAAGTTGGGAAAATATTTTATCGTCGGTGAGATGGGTCCGGGGGTGATTTTGGGGGTCAATTCGGTCTACCGGCATCTAGGCATGTTGAAATAAACTAGATTTTTTGAGGGAGGACTTTTATGCATTCCGAAAGTTGTGATAGAGTGGGGGGGGGGCTTGTATTATGTTCGTCAGGTCTACAAAATTGTCGACAAGTCAGATAGAAAATTACTTCGACGACGAAAGCCACACAAAATAGAGGTGATTGCTCACTGTATTAGCTCAACTCTCTGGTTCCCGCCGCGCTTGAGTGGAACTAACTTGACAGTGGCAGATGGTTCTGGCTTACCCAGAAGACACCTGCTGCTATGAATCAGAATATGCAGCCTAAATCTCATCTTTACATTTGAAATTTCAAAATTTTCACTTCTTTTTCAGTGAAAATGTCGTTTATTTTCACATTTTCATGGCAGGCGAAATTTCAAAATTTTCATCATTTCTTATTTTATTTCGAATTTTTCACTTTGAATCAAGAAAGTGCTGAAAAGGTTTTATAATTTTCACCTTCTTTTTCAGTGAAAAATGTCTGAAAAATAAACAACATTTTCACTGAAAAAGAAGGTGAAAAAATTGAAATGCTCAACCAGTGTTAATGATATCATCACGCTCTTAATAAATTAAGCCTGAAGCGTTTTTAAACTTCGCTGCTCGCCAGTTGACCTCTTTCCTGCCGTACAGTCGGATTGCTCATAATGCATAGCGTCGGTGGCCATAAGGTAACCGGAATTTCAGCCGTGCGGGCCAGGAACCAAGATAATGGGTCTTAACAGGAACAGATTCCTAGTCTACAATCAATTTGAGGTCTTCTTAGCCATTTGTATTCAAGAGTCCGCCCTTCATACGCATTACAGTAGCAAATTTGAAAAATAATTATATTTGCATCCTGGCATTTGTTCCGAGGATATCACCCAGAGCTTTAACACCTCAGAAATAGCCATAAGTGTGTTGGAACACGCACAAAGAATCCCGTGACCAGAGACACATCCTACGCTCCGATATAAATAAATTAATACAAAAATCTAACCCTGAGCAGAACATCCATTTTTGCAGCCAGGGTGACATGATCCATGGTATTTCCTGTTAAGTATCGTGACTGCAGCTCCTCTACGAGGTGTAGACAAAATTTACCTAATAGCTACCAAGGCTTTCAGAGAAAACCTCAATTCCGGTTACTTTACGGCACTACTAGTACGAGCAATATGCATTATGAACACACCTTTACAGTGTTCAGTATCTAAATCCCCGAAAATTTTGTGCGATATGAGCCATTATGCATTATCACCTTATGAATTTTGACAAATCCGACAATTAAGCCTGACCATCCGTCTGAAGCCTTTTTAAACTCCGCTGCTCAGTTGACCTCTTGCCTGTGATCCGACAATACGCCGAAAGAGAAATGGGACTCGCTCAGCGGTGAAGACCAAGCGGCATGGAACGAGTTGGCGGAAGAGGAGGTCGGAGATGTTGCCGAATGAGAAGGTGGAAAGTATCATAAAGAGAAAAAATATCTAGGGTGGAACGTGAATGACGGGGCAAGGAACGAGAATGGTGGCTATTGGGACAGGTGTTGTCTGAAGGCTCGAGGCGACGATCCGTAGTTTCACACACAGTAAGCAAGTACGGTTTGCCGGAAGGACTTGATTGGATTTCCGATCCATTGTTCCGTTTGTCATGTATGACTGATGGGCCATGGCATCATTCTTGTTACACTCTTCCCATCGCCCTCTCGACCCGCACCCCAATTTCGACTCGCACGCTGAACGCGTCGCCGGCGCTGCTGTCATCAATGATTTGGACCAATGCATGTTTATCTCCCTCAATTTTGTATCATTTCCCTTGACTAAGTTGCTCCATGCAACCTCAGAACCCCGTGGGAGGGCTGTAGCATATTTTTTCACTTACATTTCACCTGCGGTGAATTGTTTGAATGCCTATGTACACTTTCCGTGTCCCCGAGGGACATGGAAAGTGCACATAGGCTACTTGTCTATACACCGCAAGGTACAATCCGGAGAGGTGTGAAAGCGGAGTAAGTAGGAAACTTACCGACCACATGAGAATAAGTGTGATGAAGACCTCGTCGAAACCATTATATATTTCGACGAGGTCTTCATCGCACTTATTCTCACGTGGTCGGCAAGCAATTCAATAAATATTTACGTGCATCCAAAATATACGCTGCAACCACAGGGTGTACTACGAGTATTCCGCAAACTGGATGAAGTGTAGCTAATCATCCTCATTGTCGTCTCCGACTGCGAGATCAAGATTTTTGCAGAAAACATTGCAATCATGCTGATCCCGCCATTTTTCAATGCCTTTCTCCCCATAGTCCCCAACACCTGAATCCCTATAAATATTGAGTGAGAAGAGGCAATAAGTAAAGGCTGCTAAAGGCACTTACCCATCTGTTGTGTGGGTCATCATGTCGAAGATGATGATGCCCATCGCATTTGTACTGAGTCTTCCCGAGGAACCTTGGAATAGATTAACGCAAAGCATAGGAAACAAGATAAATGGATACCTTGTATATCGGCAAAGACAATAGTACCCTCGCTCCATTGGAAGGAATAATGGACAAATGCTGAAAGCGTGTGGGCAAGCTGTCCTTGACCCGCCGGGTGGTCCATTGTCCCGGTGTAATGAGTGACGGACGAGTTGCGCAGAGGCTCCAAAAGCCAAACAATGCGACATGTTGCTTCTAATTCAGCTTCGAACACCTCCTTTACAACACCGGACGCAGGTGATGGAGCTCCATCCAAAGGGATAACCTCCTGAGCCAGATGGCATTTTTTAATCTCGAAGTCTGCCAAAATTAATCAGGGAGATGCTATCATGCTGCAGAAGAAACAAAGCCGTACTCTTTGCGATAGTCATGTTCAGGTCATCAGTAGCAGAGCGAAAACGGTTCAAAAACCATCGCGCTGTCTCACACCGGAGAGCCTCCAACTGCAGATTCGAAGCATTTTCGGCCATCGTTACCTCGTCCTGTCCAGAACCAATCTCATAAAAGTGTTTAGCGACATATTGCTCTGTGCCGATGGAAAGCTGAGAAGGTTGGATTAGTAACCATAAAATAAAGCCAGATGATAAACTCGCCTTGAAGCAGCGTTTCATTTTCCCGCTACGTGAAATTTCGTCCCCAATCAGTGCCGCTTCGGTGGTGTTGGGATCAATGGCTGGCCAGGCAATGGCTACTTCACAGGTCTCCTTGTTTACCAAAAGCTCTGCAAACGAGAGAGAAATCTCTGTGGATTTTGCGGGATCAGGCCCAGACACTTTGCGCTTAAAGTTTGAACCAACTCCCGAAACTGCAGCCAGTTCAGCCAAGAAGTCCGATTAAGTCAATGTGGTACTCACCGCGGGGACGTTTGGCGGCTGGGTCCTCGTTCTCTTTGGGTGGTATGCTGCCTCTCCGCCTTTTCGCTACTGAACCAGGTGGCGGGGATGTATCCTGAAATAATACTTCATCTAACTCGAGTGGAAAAAATCAAAAGGCAGACGTACATCCTCCGGTGTGTCAATCCAGAGCTCCAGGGCCATCACATTGCTGCAGCATGTTTTGGCATCTTGGTGAAGTATGCGTCTTGTGCACCCGAATTTTTATGTGCTTGGTAGAAGTCAAGAACAGCCAGCTGTTCACTGTCTGGAATGATGTTCTGGTTTCCATGAAAGCGCCAGTCCGCCCGCTCCCTCATGACAACCAATCAGGCGCAATCCAAATAACTGAACAAGCAAGACTCACTTTATGATAGGATATGTCTTCGCTTTTGTCCAGGTAACATTCCAGCCAGCAAGCAACTCATCTTTAATTTCTGGAAACAAAAAAATCAGTACTACGAGATTGAGCAAGCAAAGAAAGGGCACTCACCATCCATGGAGGTATCCGGGGGATATGATCTAGAAGTTTGACCAAGACGCATATTGATCTTCGAATTTGTATCAAGGCGGGCCTCAGCGTAGACCTTAACACAATCGGCATCGTTGTATCCGACATTACGGAATTGATCAAGTGCGGCCGTGTTCAACTCAATAGTCGGTTGGGGAGAATTAGCAGCAAAAGCATTTGGCTTCTGTGGGCAATGGGTACGCAGAGCGAACACCGCCGAACGTGCCTGCTTTGCAACATCCAACCCATGATTGATTATACCGGCTGCAGCAAGTTCTATAGAATTTTGAATTTTGGGTGAGCTTTGAAGAATTTTAAACACTGGTGGAAGAGAAAATACCTTGTTCATGAC